CCCCCCCCCCCCCCCGTGCTTTGCTGCCGCCTCGCCTTGTCCTGACAGTACTGTTCGGTGAAGCCGACCCCGTCGAAGCGGGTTCTCTCCCCCCCAAGCGCTACGAAGCGCCTGTTTGCCGACGTCGGTGATGCGGAGACCGGTCTCGTGAGGCGCTGACCCCCCACCCCCTTGGGGAGACGCGATTGCTTAGTCCCGTCTTTTGTGGTCGGTGTTGTCAGCACTGAGGAGGAAGCGAGGTGGAACGGCTTCCCTTGTGTCGCCTTTTTTCAAGTTTGTACCGTACCGATCTCAATCAACCATGTGTTTTAGAGAAGTCTCCAGGCACGCAGTGTTGCAGTTACAGTAATAGAGTGTTCTGCAGTCATCACGCCGACACCAATTTACTTCAACGGTGTTTCAGAGTTCCATTGTGTTTACATACGTACGTACGTGTGTTGCTAATTTTACGAAACGATGGAGTAGTCAAGGCAGTGGAAGACCGAGCACGTTGCTTTCCCTCCCAGAGGAAGACAAAAAAAAACACAAAAGGAAGTAAAGTTAACTATCTCTCGGGCACGTCTATCGTACCGATGCACACAGTGGTGTCCATTCCTTTTTGGGGGAGTCATTTTTGTGTTCTGGTGTGCTGCAGGGGGAACGCCTTCACAGGTGTTGGAAACTCTTTCGATTTGTTTTTGTTAAACGTTTGGGTATCTTGTAGACAGCTCGCTCGCTCGCTCTGTGCGTAGGCTGCACCTCTCGGCATTTTGTCGTTGGCGCTAATTCTATTGAGGGGCTAAATATGAGGGGATCGATCAGCTTGGGTCAAGAGAGTGCTAAAAAAAGATTTACCCCTTGAAGGGGGGAGTGCTTGGAACGGAGAAGAAGTTGTTGGTAAGTGGCTTGCGGTCATTGTCTGGTGGTTTGTTGCCCGTGTTGTTGAGACGTTGTTGGCATCTTGACCTTTTGCCTCAGCTGCCGTAGGCACTTCATGCATTGTTGGGGGTACTGAAGGCGAGTTTGATTTCAGCTTGTGTTTCTTCTTCGTGTCCCGGTCATGGCGAAAACAGTCAATTCAGTGTAGTAGTATGTTTGTTTGAAGCTGTGTAAATTACGACGGTTCGAACACTCCGTCTAGTTGTCTCTCCGTGATTGGTTGGCGAACAGACGGCCGATACTCCCTGTGAGTAATAACTTCTTCGAATTAATTCAGGCGCGTGGGCGTTTAGCTCAGGTCATGGTGCAGGCTCGCGTGCGTGGTGCTTGTTCGTGTTGGACACGGTAGTATTAGTAGGTAGTTAGCGACACTCCACAACACGCGGCGGGGTCTAAATAAAGCCTACATGTATGTTAAGCTGCGACTTCGTCAGGAGAAGACTAGGCCGTGGATATGACATCAATCCGTACGGGGTCGTCCTTCTGTTCAGCCCTAACCCTGAGCCCTGCTCGCCATAAAAAACACAGAGGAGAGGTCATGACGAACGACGACATGGAAACATCCTTGTGCAACCAACCCTCCCTCTGGATCGAAGGTCCGTGTGGAGGCAATATCGTGGCTGACTTCTCTCCCAACTACAGCGATAGCGCAGTGTCCTTACCCCTCTTCTCACGCTACGGCGGCCGTAGGGCGGGCAACCAAACGTGACGATGTGGGAATGTTTTGTAAATGGTACGAGGGAATCCTGAAAGACACTGTGAAGGCAACAACGGAATATTTTCAGCGCATTGATTCCACAGCATCAGCAGCGCTCTACTCCGTATAACGTTTTGACTCACATATCTAGATACACATCGGCTAGTGATTCAACAGAAACATGTTCCCCTCGCCAAATTCGCGAGATAATGTGCAAGCCGAAACTCCTCAAAGCGTGTTTTACACCACCCATCTTGCTCGATACATCTTCATTCATGTGGTTTCGAGGTCTACAGTAGTCTAGGCTCATAGCACCGGCAAGAACGATGTTCAAATCATGTCCCGATTGCCATCCCTGTCGTCGTCGTTGTCGTCGCCCCCGCCTTCGGGGTCCTTGTTGTTGATCTTGTGAGTGCTGATGCTGCGTGGTTTCTTCTCTACGCAGGACGGCCGCACCTCCCTCCACTTCCCTTCCCCTGCCTTTGGCCACCGGTGGTGCTTGAACACCCAGGCGGCGAAGTCGTCTCGCTTCTGCGTGTTGCAAGCTTCCGCCGGCCGCACTTGACAGGTGTCGCACAACGGGACGAAACGCCGCATGATTCTGGAAACAGAGGTCTTGGCCGTGACTCTGGCACACAGGTGGAGGTACCGTCTTGTCGAGAGATTCTTCCGGAACAAAGCATCCAGGAGACGCCTTTGAGTGCGCGCGGGGGGCGGTTGGGGGGGGGGGAGAGAGAGAAGGGGGCAAGGGAAGGGGTATGTTTGGCCAATGACCACGTGCTCCAGTCCTACTCTTCGTAGATACACCACCGACACCTCTACCTCTGGTTCCTTACTATCCTTACTACATGTATCCATACTTCATATACCCAGTCTACAGAAACTGTGTCTTTCTGATTCCTCCGCAGAACACGTATGTATATCGGTAACATCATTTGACCATTGTCTTTCTTAGGGCGGCCTTGAGCGGGGAGGGGGGTTGAGGGGTTGGGGGAGTTGGGGGGGGGCACACTAATCTTTCGCGTTGGTTGGTAAACCATTGACAACGCATCATCTAGAGGACGGAGCATTGTTCCGACAGGACCGATCACCGATGACCAAAGTTTCCTTCCTATTTTCCAGAGGTGGCTCAAAAATGTTTTCCCTATCCTACGGTTGGGGGGGGGGGAGCGTACTCTTATGTTTTGCATGCCTTAGCGGTTAGACCATTGACCAGGCGTCCTCGAGAGGGCGGAGCATAGTTCCCACAGGGCCGATCACCGATAGCCAATTGTTCCTTCCTACTTTGCCAAAGGTGGCTCAAAAATGTTTTCTCGAGTCTATCTATCCTATCAGTATCACTTCCCGACTTTTCAACCCATTTGCTATGCCCCAGTACAGCTAACATCTTCTCCTGGCTATTCCATGCCTCAAACATCTCCCTGTATCTTCTGTCTACTTTTCCCCAGCTCAGTCATATACATTTTCCTCTCCTTCTTGTACAGCAGACATTCCGCAACTACAGTACATGAACTATGGTTGGGGATTGTTTTCAAACGTAGAGGCATGTATATACCTTTAATACATACCTCTACGTTGCATGGAGAAGACATGATTCGACGGTCGGTTCAACAGAGGCATTGCAGATGCACGTGTTCCTTACCAGTGTCTCTTTGCGGTGGCCGTTTCCAACGGAGTTCGGCCACGATCGTCCTCTTGAAGAGGGTTCGCGCCGCTTTTCAACAGGGTCTGTGCATCACGGCCAGCGCATAAGATGTACCGGGTTAGGGTTAGGGTTAGGGTTAGGGTTAGGGTTAGGGCTAGGGTTAGGGTTAGGGTTAGGCCTACTACCACACGATAACTACGATCCCGCGAAGAGCAGCAGAGAACGACCAACTGTGGCTGCCGGAACTCCAGGACCTTTCCGATTGGTTCCGCTCGAAGCGTCCGTCTCTATAAGTTAGTTATGAACGTCTCTGGCTGAATTGTGTCTCGAAACATGCATATACTTCGAAGTATATGCCTTCTCGTTTTCTTCACGACATGTCAGCCTCCTTCTCGCTACGGTGTTTATTTTGGCCGTGGGCCCTGACCGTATTTACGGGGGTGATGTACCACACCGCAGGAACACGTTACAACCCGATGTGATTGGACTGTAATCCGAGTTCGTCCGCTTGCTCACCTCCACGGCGAAGTGGTCGGCAGCACGACAAGCTTCGTGGAGTGCCGTTCGGCCATGGTTATCCTCTGCCTTCACGTTGGCACCATGTGAAAGCAGCTCTCTGATAGGCGTGCAAAAGAGAACGCGTATCGTGAGTTGTCTTGGCTTCGCAGTTCAGGGTTAGCACGCGACCTTCGCTGTTGTGAAGGACAGCCCCGGGTGTACACGCCAACGTGGAGTAGTACGTGTTATCACGTGGTATCAAAAGATACGGCACGGAGCGTTGGAGGCCACTCCGTTCTCCTCACGCTGAGGGCATACGTGGGCGCCGCAATCTGTTGGTTGTCAATGCAAGGGTTAGTATTGAAAAAAGGTTCGGCGTACGCGAACGATACCATGCATGCTAAAACGAGGCCAAGAGCACAAAAAAAAATAACGTGGGTAGGCGAGTGGCACCTGAGATAGGCCATTCCAATATGTGGACGCAGAAGTTTCTTTGCCCTGCCAAGTATACGTGATTCTGGAAAACCTCGACAACGAAAGTAAGTAAGCGATGGCGACGGTCTCGTTAAACTCACGGTAAAGTCCTAGGGAAAATGCCACTCACGGCAAACATCAAGGGATGATTAAATCCCTGCAAATGAAATATGCCGTATGGTATTCATAGTAACAATACGTTGAAATTGTGACGAAATGCTCGCGCCCTTGAATCGGGCACGAGCTCCAACCAGGCCTCTCTACTGTGGTCGTCCCGAGTTACTTACGGCACAATACTTTCCCAATCCTAGCTCTGACAGTTTCATGAGAATGGTTCAAGTTACACTATCTTGTGGCGGCGATACGAGAAGAAGAAAACCAACCTGACTATGGCATTTCTTGTACCAGGACAACGAGCCCTCGGCGACCAGCTCGACAAGTGCAGAGCCGTCCTCCCATTGAGATCTCTGGCATTCACCATGGCGATGCGATCATCGCACGAGTACGACTCGGTCATGAAGCGCAGAAGCACCGACACGATTTCTGGCGCCCCTGCGTGGCACGACAGGTGCAATGGGATGCTAGGTGGAGATCGGTTCCCCCCCCTGCCGCCAACATGGCCGGCAGCAGCAGCTTCCCCCCAGGCACGAAAAGCGTCAAGAAAGTAGGCACCTTTGTGCTCTTTGCCGTGGTGTAGCCACATCTCAACAGCGGCCGGGTTGGCGTCTCGTACGGCCGCTGCGAATGTCTCTCGGCACGAAGTGTTGATTTTCCTGTGATCAAGCACTCGAGCTAGCCGCTGCAAATCCGAAGCCTTCGATATCTCTCGAATCATAGCGGCGGGACTAAGCCGTTTGGTTGGTTTTGGATGGTCGGGACCTTTGGCTGAGGAGGAAGAAGGCGGTGTTGGTGAGTTTCGTTTTTTCTTTCTGCCTTTCGCGGCTGCTGTGTCTTCTATTGCTCGATAAGCACCTTCCCATAGCGACGTTGATGTGGTCTCTTCTCGCCAAAAGACGCGGTGGTGCACAGGCTGCAATCTGAGAAATGTGCCATGACGTGTACCAAGGCGTTTGTTTGCGCTTAGCTGCATAATCTTACATAGGTTAGTTCTTGGTAGACAGTCGCGGGACGCGAGCAATAATTTAATACCTAACTAGGCAAGTTAATATGTAGATGAGGGGTTGGAATACGTGAACTTCACTATTTATATCATTGTTCACCACACAATAGCTTTGATGCAATCTTAATCTTCACTCCATGTACTGTAGCCTGAACAAACAAACGTCGTCGGTGGGCACTCTTTCAAGAAAGCACTCCGAAACCCACTTTACACTGCTGCTGTGGGAGGACTATTATTGTACATGCACTGGACTCCGAAACCTGACCGCACGCTAGCATGTACCTCTGCTGTTGTTGTAATTCGGGAGTTGTAACCCGGGCGCCAGTTGATTGAGTGGGTTATGTCACGACCACACACAAGGGAAAAAGGCGAATTGGCGGAGGCTGTGGGTGTGCAAAACACGCGGCCGGGCCACTCCGTCCTTTTCGTCGTCTCGTTTGTCAATCGTCATTCGCAGTTTTACACTATACTCTGCGGCCCTCTCTACTGAAGAACTTCGATCCGGGGCCACACAGAACACTTCCTCTTCGGACAGCGTACCTTTTTACGCCGACGAGGGTGGCATTTCCTTTAAACTTGTCGGGTTCATCGCAAGACGCCGCCGCCTTGGCGCGGAAGTGACCGGCCAAAGAATTTATTTGCCGAACACGAAGCCAGGAAGCGATCGCGTCCGTGCCCATGGCGGAGAACGTCGCAGTCGAACGAATGTGCTTTCCCCAGGTACGGACCCACCTATGCGGTGACTCGGATACAATGTAGATTTCGAGGGTGTGTGGCACGTAGACGTATGCGATCTTGTTCGATCTTTCTCAAAAAAAATAATTAAGGAATAATAAAAACACACACAGAAAGACTACCCATTCGAGATATACCCACAGTGGAACGGGATGTGGTGGAGTCTTTTCAGTGAGTGGAGGGAAACCGGCTGGGTACTGGACTTATTTAATCCATCTTTTTCGACGCGGCACAATCGAAAACATTCTGAAACCGTCGGTCATAGACGAGGAGGAAAGGCGGGGCAACAAGAAGGACGGAGTTTGGCAGCCGACCCGCTCTCTCTCTCTCTCTCTCTCTCTCTCTCTCTCTCTCTCTCTCTCTCTCTCTCTCTCTCTCTCTCTCTCTCTCTCTCTCTCTCTCTCTCTCTCTCTCTGAGTAAGCCCACCTTTTCTAGGCGTACTTTTTGTGCAACTACTGCTGTGTACGTACATTACATGTACGACGGTTTTCCGACGTCCGCAGCTCCGCCACAGTGGACAATCCCAACGCCGCCCAGCTCACAATTTGATCGAACGAGGAGGGAATGAAACCAGACGGCGGCCTGCTGAGAGCTTTTGTCGTACCCACTACGTTCGCCTTGGCATGGCAAGCGTGGACGACACTTACTGCCAGCAATTCGAGCTTGTTCGTTTCCGCAACCCTGGAGCAATGCCACCTAGACTGCGCAGGAAACACCACCGCCGAACTTGTTGCCGATGCAGCTCTGAATGGTGGAAGCTGGAGTGTTTGGGACACCCAACGACTCGTGGGGCCGACCGAACCCGCGTCGGAGGTAAATGCGACGTACCCCTACGCTAGGGCACCGCTCCCGCTTCCTTTCCACAGCTTCTGCCAGCTGGGATGCTCCTACTTTTTCGCGGGCTCGCCTCGAAACACAACCTGCAGTGGACTCTGCGACGATTTCTACGTTCGGAACGTGTCAGTGGGGATCAACGACTACGCAGAAAAGGTAATGAATTTGGTGGGGTTTGTTGTTACGACGGCGAGGACTTTCGGGCGCTTGCGCGTGATCTTGTACACGTATCACGAATTCAAGTATTTGTTTGAAGTGCCCTGCGGTCGCACTACTGTACAACTGTATATGAAAGAATACCCCCCTTCTGCGGTGCGACATGTACAAACCCTCTTGTCTTCTCAGTCAGGCGACTTCGTCAGTCGTTCGGAAGAACACATGCAAACACAGCACAACCAGGAACATGCCCTGGTGGGGCCTGACCTACAATAACAATTACTTTGCGTGCCATGCTCGTGGCTGGTGCAAACAGGCCAGGCTTGAATGTCGAGATGGTTGCAACATTGCGGTGCTACGATGCCAGCCAGGGTACTCGTGTGCGGCCGGCGTCATGTCGGAATGCTCTCCAGGCACCTATCGCAACACTTCGTACGACATGATAAACACGTGCACACAGGTCAGCATCCAAAAGTAGTTCAATGCATCTTGTCCACTCGCCAACACAACGGTATTGAGCACCGTTTGTTTACGTCGTGGACGCCGACAATGGGTGATGGGCTTGGGTGGGCTACTACTGCTGTACGTATAGCGAGCACAACCAGGCAACCCCGCGACACTCAGAAAGCACGATGGAGTCCGAGTCCTCCGAAAAGGACCACGGGCTTCCGAGGTGCCATTTTTCTCTCCTCGTAGATCTCGCGTGTTCAGGTACATTGATACATTTAGTTGCCTCTCTGTCAGGACAAACGATACAACGGGACCCTCCGAGGCAATGGGTCGTCGTTTCTCCTCGTCTTGTGCGAGATATAAGCGCTTCTTCTCGGACACCTCACACCCCCTCAACAAACCCACGTCTGCTGTGCACAACTCTGAACAGTGCCCAAAGGGGACATACCGAGCGAAAGGGAAAGGCAGTGGCGTGGACGATTGCGCACTTTGCCCCGTCAACACGTACCAGAACACGACGGGAGCGACTGCAGAAACCGACTGCATCCGGTGCCCCGATGGCTTCTACGCGAAGGAGGAAGGCACGGCGGAATGCAGCTGCGTGACGGAGGATAGCTGCTTGCCAGAGTGGCAAAACTTCCAACGAGACTCGATGCCACACATTGGTCGCAACTAGCAGAGGTTTACAATGAAAAGACGTCCATATGGAGTGAGTGCAGAAAACGATTGGAAGTGTTGTTCCAAGGCGTTAAGAGAGCCGCCAAGGTCAAAGTGCACGCAAAGACAATGTTCTGACGTGAAAAGGGCAAGGTCTAGCTTGCGTTCTACCAGCAGCGTCTCATGGAGAACAGTGCTGACCAAAGGATTCAAGGATCTGACACCCAGTGTCTGAACTGTTTCGCAACTAGGACGGCCTTCACGACATCGAACAGACTCACAAAAGCTCCTTTTGATAGGTTCTACCGCCAAACCGACAGTCTGGTTGACCTCCCAGGAAGGACACACTCCAGTGTCCCACTAAAACAGGTCGATGACAATATAACACCGCGTAGGTGCCAATCCCAGTGGTTGGACGAGGACCACCCAACTCTTGACAATTGTCGCTTTTCGACAAACAGGGCTGAACCACCCGCGAACGCATGACAGCATCCTCCTGCGCAAACTAATCTGGGCGGGACCCAAATGCAACCATAGCGATACTGCGATCGTAACCCTGGCCTATCCTTCACCGCAGTTTACGCCTCAACTCAACCTTTCCCGTACCAAGACTAAATCTCACTCGGTAAATCCAGGACTGCGCGAGCTGCGACGGCTAGCTTGGCAATAAGATCCGCCTGGCGCATGCTCTCATCCACATCGACAGACGACTCGAGGGGGGATTGAGAGAAGCCCGCGCGGAGCCGCTGCTGCGACAGGTCAAGGGCCCTGTACAGGGTGTCTAGCGCTTGGTCCTTCACACGCGAGGGGTCGAGCGGGATGCCATCCGCCCGCACGGTTGTCGCCCGGGACGTCTCCGCGGGTGCGGCGGCAGCAGCGGGTGCGGCGAGAATTTCGGCCATGCGCCGCTCGGTGTAGATCCTCCCCGCGCCGTCACCCAGCATCGCTTCGTCCTCCTCCTCGTCGTTCTCCGTCTCTTTTTCGCCGGCAAAGTCTCCCGCCGCCTGGACAGGCGCTGTCGCTGCCGCTGCTCCTGCTGCTGCTGTTCCCTGCCTCCCGGCAGCAGCAGGCGCGCTGCCTCTGCTGCAGCTGACGCACTGCTCTCTCCCGGTCCTGTCGCGCATGAGCGGGTTGTGGCACTCCGGTGCGGGGCACGTCGTGCTCAGCATGGCCCACCCCTGCAGCAATCGCTGTGCCAGCGTGGCACTCGAGACGCCATCCCTGCTCTGTTCCCTCGCCGCTTGCTTGCGAAGGCGGGCCCTCTCCGCCACCTCGTACTCGCTTTCCACCTTCACAAGGTTTCGACGAGTAACCAGGAGGAATACCATGGGTGTGTCAATGGGTGGGGACAAGTAGGAGAGAGAACCCGTTCCGAGTCCGAACGCCGCGGACACTGAAAAAAAAAGAAGACAGATCGCTCCATCGCCTTGAGGGGATGGACCAGCGTTTGGAAGGGTATGTAGCTGATCTGAAAACTATGCAAAGTGCATTGACTTCTGACCGATATGTGCGTTTGAGTCGCAGATGAGCCCCATCGAAGCACCTTCTTTTTGCAGTGCACGACAAGGAAGCAGCTACATGTAGGGGTTGATCACTGGACGGTTTAGCCGAACACAGAGTCTTGAGTCGTGCGATTTTTTGTACGACGAAATGATCCTTCCCTATCACAGTGTCCATGAGCGATAGAACCAACCTTTGCGTCTCCGAGAATTTCGAGGATGGTCCTAAAAAAGTGCAATTCACACCCTGGCAGGGGCTCAACCTCGATTCTGAACGATCTAAATCGATATTGGTTTATCTCGCGCTTCGGCAGGTACAAACAAACGCGTTGCTAGAATAGTCCCCCTTCAGTTGCTTCGAAACATCAATCCACGATGAACTCCAGACCAAACGCTCACGACAAACCTTGTGTTGTACATGGTATGGTCGCACCTCCGGTGTCTTCGTCTTGGCCGAGCCAGGGTTAGGCAGCCCGGGACCGTCCTCGTCCACGCGAGGAGGACCCCGGCTCCTCTCCCCAGAGCTATCCCGCTTCAACGGCAACCTTGCCTTTGCACCAGAAGCCGTGCTTGACTCGTCAACCAAGCCTCCCACCCCCCCTTCGCACGTACCACGAGTGTCGCAGCCAGCGCAGTAGAACACCCCGGTGCTCCGATCTTTGAGCAAGGGCGTGCCAGGCTCGCAGCCCTCGCGGGGGCACGTTTTGTCCGAAAGAGACCAGCCCTGGAGCATGTAGCGGCCAAGGGAGGCGCTGAGCGCGTCCCGCTTCTTCCTCACGGCCGCGAACTGTTCCTCAGACATCACTGGTTCCGTTCTTGCGGCCGTGATGCTGCTGCTGTCCGACGGGGGCTTTGGTGCGCTGACAGTCGAGGCTGGGGCGGCCGCTGAAGTAGGGTCTTCGAATTGGCCAGCAGCAACACGGTCGTCGAGACCATCCTTCGCGGCAGCGGAGGCATTACCGTCGCAGGCCACACATCTCGTGACCCTCCCTCTGTCGCGCATGAGTGGGAAGCAGCAGCCAGCGGTTTCACACTCCTCTGCGAGCATTGTCCACCCTTGCAGCAGCTTCTCGCCCATGGCCGCTTCTGCTGCAGCCCGAGACTGTTGCTTCGTCGGCCCCGGTGCCGCCCGCGGCTGTTGCCGATCTTGGCCTCTGGATAATCCTCGAACCGCGCCTGTGGTAGCAGCGTCTGAACCAAGGGCATCCTGGGACTTGGTTGCCATTCCCTCGCCTGCTCCCGCGGGAGAGGCGCAGGTCGGGGACCCGAGAGACTTCGCTTCCTCGGGTGTGATGCAGTACATCTTGCACTTCGCGCAGTAGACCTTGTTGTGGGAGAATTTGCATCATGGGTTTGATTTGGAAAGAGGAGCATGGTTAAACAATACTTTGAATTCTAGGTGGAGAAGAACCGGGCGCGAGACCACCCACAACGATCGATATGATGTCTTGCTTTTCAGTTGCTGAGGAGCGCGATACCTACGAAGTACGATCGGTATGGTATTTTGGTTCAGTTGCTGAGGAGCGTGATACATACTCCCAAGTAAGAAGGTGCAGCAGCCGCAGCAATTGGCGCCAAGAGCCTGGTACGCATGCGTACCCATCTCTGGACAAAATAGACGACTCATCATTACATGCCAGCGTGTCTTTGGAGAGATTTTCCGTGCTTCAATGTGTCACTCACAGCACCGACGCGCCTGGCAGGGCTAGGGTGGGGCTAGCATCAACAACAAGGCTGTCCACTGACCGCGGGGGTGGTTTCAAGCGTCATTTGCATCACAGACGGACTCCACCTACTGCTGTCTAGTCGCTTCTCACCTTCTTTTTGTGGTCTCTGAGAAGCGGTGTGCCACAATTCGGCATCGGACAGTGCTGGTTCAGCAGCGTCCACCCCTCTTGCAGCCTCTTGGAGATCTCAGGCACACATCCGGCCTCTGCATTGGCCATTGTTCAACAGATTTGAAAGTTCTCGAAGCCAGTTCCAATCTGTTGACCACGGTCCACCCACGTGCGCGCGATACAATAGCTGTGCTTCTGCGATACACACTCGTGACGTCCAGTAGTTGACACAACGGGAGAGCTAACAGATTGCGCCGTCGGTGTAGCGAGGTGGTCGGTGCTGCGCTTGCGAGCCTTGCGCTTGCGCCAGCTGCTCGGGTTCTCGGGTTTGGCTCACGGGAACCACGGAACCACGAGAACCAAAATTCGAAGATGAAAACCCTGGGAGGGTCTTCACCATCCCCCCCCCCGTTGATACCTACATCAGCAGTGACGACATACGTATGCGAGCATCCCCCTTGCTCCACGCGCCGCCTTATCAGCCCTTGGGAGGAAGCAGCATTGGGATTGTAGTAGGAGTCGTGTTTATGTGGAGTCGTCGCGGGGAACAGGCGTCACCTTTCGCCTGTTTTCCAGGCAAAAGCTAAAAGCATCCGGTGCATCAGTCACAAGAAATCGCCCGAGGTGGAGGGTACTGCTGTAGAGACACCGGTGCTGTTTCACAGACTTCTCATCCCAGCTACTGCTGCTGTGTCTAAGCCGCACGGCCGGGAGGTAGCACCTACCATAAACGTCCCCTGGCCTCTTCTGCAGCCATCCACGCGAGAAGCGCTGAGAGGTTTTGCTTCCACCTCTGCCAGTGGCCCACCGTAGGCGAAGGAAATGCAATGATGGACACAGGTGCAGTTGCAGTCTGTGACCTTCCCGAGCCCCTGCAGGCATTCACGAGCACTCTCGATGAGCCCCACGGCTGCAGCTGCTGCGAGGACACCCCTTCCTCTCAGGTGAGCCACATTACAGTTCAGACGGCATTAATGTGCAGAGTAGGCTGGCTCTCTCTGTCTGTCTGTCTGTCTGTCTGTCTTTCTTTCTTTCTTTCTCTCTCTGTCTACCGTCCAATGGGTAGCAGTGACTGCTGTGTGTCGTCTCTTGTAAGGAGGTTGCTGAGAGCTTGAAACATCAACATCTCCCTTCTTGAGCGTGCTCGACGTTTTTCGGGGCAATTTCATAGTTTTACTGCAGCCACATCTACAACAGGGAAATGTATGCTATAGTACATACCAATCTACAGCATACAACGGCTACTGTATGGGAGGGGCGGAAACGAATGGGTTATTGCCGCTTTGGACGAGAGTGTCTGCGTTACGTACAGTGTTCATCGTATTGGCCGGGAGCACGCAGAAACTATAAACAGTAGCGGGGAACGAGCGGGATTTTTAGCAAACAAAGAGCAACATGCAGTGCTGTACAAAGAGAAACTGAACCCAATTGGTCGCGTGAGAAAAAATTGGTTGTCGTTGTCTGGACTGAGAAGACATTTGCCCGGACGATGTGCACCCTCCAAAACATGCGACAGCAGTTAAAGCGGAGGGGGCGCTAAGGAGTCATTTTCGATCGCTTCCCTCCAGGGCGCAAGGAAAAATCGGATTTAGTGCGAAATTTCCGCCAAAACTGATCGAAAAAGGAGAGAGAAAACGCCTGCTGACTGGATGATGCGGAGAGGAGAGATCCTCCATGCCTGGGTTCGCGGGGAAAGCAGCATCCCCACTTGAGGCCGTCACTTGTCTAGATGTCCTCCGTACCATTCTTCGCCAGCTAATAGAGGCGAACAGAAAGGGGGTCAAAAAGATGCCCCCAAAAAGGTCGATCGAGTTCCAAAGAGGTTCGTTCCCATGCGGAAAAACCGCCTTTAGTTAGACTACCTACCAGACACCAGACTTACGGTAAGCCCAACCAATACCTCCCCCCCCCCCCCGCGCGCTGATAACGTTTTCCACTCTGCCTTGCTGCTGCGCGCCCCCGCTCCCCTGTGTTCAGAACATGGTCTGCCTGCCGCCCCACGTGTTCGCTTTCTGCATCGTGATGTCGGCCTTGGTTTCGGCAATCGTGGTGGCGAACCAACGCATCTACGGGGCTATCCGAGAATACCTTCGGCAACTCCTGGAGCCGTCTGCGAGTAGGGTGCACAACCCGCGCTTGCTGCACCGAAGCGCATCCCATCAGTTGGACAAGGATTCGGAAGGGGCGAACGTCATCGAGGTGGGCACGGCTCGGTAGATAGAGATGGGAAAACCATCATCAACGAACAATGCTTGTAGGTTGGACGATGCAATGGAGGCTGTGTTGAGCATATCGCTCTGGTACGTTTCGTCTCAGACTCTAGAGCGGTGGAGGCCGCTGCCCGTGGCGCTGATTTTTTTAGGCTTTGGCTGTGCAATATAGGAAGGCCAGAAGACTGCAGCGTGGGCCATCGCTCCTCGTAGCATACGCTACATGACTTCTGTCACAGATTCCACAAAGGCATGCGTTGGACTACTGCTGCTGTTTCGCTTTGGGCACTTCGCAGTTATGATAGCATCATCGCTAGGGCTCAAAACCACATCCCGCATCAAACCGAACGGAACACCTCAAACCACATCCCCCAATCCACGGAACGGAACACCTCACACCACATCCCCCCATCCACGGAACGGAACGCCACACAGGCTGCCGAGGCTATGGACCGCGCCGCCGCCGCGCCCCTAGCGCTCGAACACAAGATACCGGCTCGCTACGTGCGGGCGTTCTGCGGCAACGAGAAGCACGCGTTGGAGAGGTGGAAAGCCACCCTCAAGTGGCGCAAGGAGAACGAGATAGACGCCATCCTCAACGAGCCTCAACAGTTCTTCCACGATATTCGACGCTACTTCCCGAGTCACATGTGAGCCAACCGGGTTTTGTGTCTACAGCTGCAGGATTTTTTGAAGGTGCTCGGCTGGGTGTGGTCGTGCTCGTCTTGCTGTGTGTGGTGGATGGGGTCACATGTGAGCCAACCGGGTTTTGTGTCTACTGCTGCAGGGTTTTTTGAAGGTGCTCTGCTGGGTGTGGTCGTGCTCATCTTGCTGTGTATGGTGTATGGGGTTAAGCCATGCCACAGGTATGCTTACAGAGAGCTGCATGGGTTAGGTACAAAGAGGCTTGCACTTGTGTGAAGGAAAGCTGTTGGCAGCTTTGTATGAAGGAAACTTTTGGCAGCTTTGTATGAAGGAAAGCTTTTGGCAGCTTTGTATGAAGGAAAGCTTTTGGCAGCTTTGTATGAAGGAAAGCTTTTGGCAGCTTTGTATGAAGGAAAGCTTTTGGCAGCTTTGCGTCGGGGTTATCATGAGTACTGCCTCTGCGTGTGTTTCTTTTCGTGTTTGGTGTTTTACACTTCACTCGTTTTTGTCTCTATGACACAATGTTGGTTGGCATTGACCGGACAGAGAAACAAAAACTATCTAGAAGACAGGATTCAACTGATGATGACATCGTGTCGGCGGTAGAATACGTGGATCCCAGAAGCTGCATTCGTTTGAGGAAGCTTCGGGACACGAGCTCCTGCGGGCGATGGGGAAAAGCGTTGGGACGATGGGAAAATAACAGGAACGCGTTTTGCACTAATGCCAACCCCACCCTTTGCCGGTGCGTGCTGCGTTGCTTGTGGTGCTCTTGTATCCTGTAGGAGCGGAAGGAGCAGAGGGGGGCACATTGTGGTGTACGACAAGCTTGGAGGTGTAGATATGCGGACACTTCGGAGAAAGCTAGGGGTGACCGTGCCAATGCTCCTCAGGTACCGTAAGAGTCGGAGAGTTGGCACCGGGTGCGATCGTTTTTTTAAATGTTTTTTCCTCGGGTTTTTTATCGCACCCCGGTGCCATCTCTCCGACCGGTGCCATCTCTCCGACCCCGGTGCGGAAATTCAATTAAATCATTTCGTTTAGAATTTTCAAGGCACCCCGGTGCGATCTCTCCGACCGGTGCGATCCCCGATGAAATGCACACAGGTGTTGTATGCACGCACCCCGGTGCCATCTCACCGACCGTTGCCATACAGTATTGATTGGTACCAGTGTAGGTACCCACGCACGCACACGGTCTTCTGCACACACACGCATACCTTATACGACACAAGATAACACACCCCCTGGACCGATATTCACAGCTCGATTTCTCGACTGCAGAGCGAGGCACAGCGCCGAAAACGGCGTCGTTGAAGTCCCCTTGTCGAGAGCTTTCCGAAAATGTGTCGTTTCGTTTATGCATGTTCTTCGTCGTGGCGCAATCGAGCTTTGGAAATTGGTCCAGGGGGTGTGTTATCTTGTGTCGTATACGGTATCTGAGCCGGAAAAAAGGCGGCGAAATACACATACAACATACCCCCGAAAAAACGGCGAAATATCGCATCTGAGGTGGTACCAGTACACAGTACACACGGTATCAATTGGTTCCCGCTTTCGTTTCGGTCTTCTCCTACGGATACCAGTACGTACGCAGAAGTGCAATAGCTTCGGGTTGTGTAAAGTGGGGTAGGGTGCGGCTTGTACGTTTGTGTGTTTGGTTGAGTGTACGGTTGGCAACTTCCATATCAATAAAAATATGAAAACAACTGGCATCCCGCGTGAACCGCGACCATCCAATCGTACGTAAAGGAGTGGCGCTCCGCTGACTCCGTCCCCACGTGTAAAAGGTACGCACAAGCACCTCATTCCTTCAGCTGAACAGGAGTTCAATCTTGGATTTGGGGGTCGGAGAGATCGCACCGGGTGCGATCTCACCGACCCCGTTGCGTAAATCGAATTAAATGTTTTTTTCTCGGGTTTTTTTATCGCACCCCGGTGCCATCTCTCCGGCCCGTGCCAACTCTCCGACTCTTACGGTAATCAATACTTCTGGTATTGTAGTGTATCATGCGTCGAAAGACAGGTCGTATACGCAGCAGTAGTCGTCTTTCCTTGTAGTTGACGTTTCGACCATCATGGGCTGTTCGTACCCATGGTGCCGTTACAACCGCAGTTGCACCTCTCGCGAGCCGAACTGCTCTCTCTCGCGTAATTTCCACCAAGTGGCGACACACGCATCGCGGCAAGGCCAACGCGTGCTCGAACGCTGAGTTTGGTGCCTTTCGCAAAGTACGTGTTTGCGCTGTTTGCTAGCGAAATGTTTCATCTGGTCTAGGAGGCGCGCAACAAGCATGTCCTCGCGTCAAGGTGGCAGTACGTGAAATGGGCTCGTTTGCCAATTGCTGTCGATGCTATGCTGTGTTTGTTGTTGTTTGGTTTTGCCGAATGAACTGATGAAGGCACTGGATTTTCGTGTCGGAGTATATGTACCGCGTGCTGCAGCCGACGGACTCGGCTCAACAGATCAACATCGAGGACATGAAGGACGTCAGGATACAGGTCAGTCTGCCGTTGAGCAGGACGTGTGCTATCTCCAACGGCGCACGTGTGCTAGAGTAGAATGCATCTCTCGCGCTTGATCGCCAACGGTCGCAGATGTGGCGGTGGAAAAATGGGGACTTGATTCGGTGGTCTTGCAGAGCTTTACACGTGGATAGAGCCTCCGATGGCTGCTTGCTCTACCTCTTGTGTCTTGTATCTTCGTATTTGCCGAGCAAGCACTACCTTTGCAAAGCTGCGAGAGGTAGAGATCGCCAACGCCAACATGTAGCTGCACAGGGAGGCTTTTTCTCGCCCCCAATTTTCGTTCCCCTTCTACCATCGTCGGTGGTGGTTTCCCAGACCTTGGCGGGAAAGATCCAGGAGTACGTAAAGGCCGTCGCCCAATTGGCTCGCCTTCACTACGTGGAGCGCTGCCACAAGACCTTCGTGGTGAACGCCCCGGCATGGTTCGGACTCTCGTTCCGTGTGGTGTCTCCGTTCCTCAGCGCTAGGACGCGGCAGAAGATCCGCATCTTGGGCTCCGACCTTTCCGCTCTGCAGGACGAGATTGCTCCGCAGGTGAGCGGCGTGCAGTGGCAGCAGTGGCAGCAGGAGCAGGCGGTTGAGACGCATGACTGCGGGCGGGAGACTCCGGTAGTTTTGTTGTGGTGTTGGGACGGGGGGGGGGTCCAGAGGATGGGACGGGGGACGGGACAATAGTCACGATTTGATTGAAAAGTGATGTCATGGAGGCTCACACAGGGCGACGGCCTGGCAGCAAGGAATGGGCTAATTTTTGTCTTTGCCCGCCAAGATGTACCGCGTCGTTCGACGCGCTCGTCTTTCGCCAAGATCTCGTGCAAGATCCCCTTTTGCTCAGTCGGAGAAAGAGAAATAGGCACGCCACAGCGGTGCCACTGCTGTAGTAGTTTTTTGTTTTTCCTGAAACTCAGTGATACACGGGTTGGTAACACCCAGCTAACCCCCTCTACCCCGCTGCTGTGCAGTTCCTCCCGGTAGAATACGGTGGGACGATGACCGAACCGGTGTCCGACAGCCCGGAAGAACGCAATCTTCGCCGGCTTGTCGACGCCATCAACGCCAACGCCGACGCCGAGGCCACCGCCGCCGCCACGCCCAAGAACGGCGACAACGGCGGTGGTGCCAAGGGTGGCGGTAGACCAACCCGCCGGCCGTCGTTTAGGTCGCCCCAGAAGAAAAGCCCCAAGAAAAACGGGAAACCGTCTTCGGTCCAGCGATCTCCGTTTGGGAAGGTGAGCGATCTCCGTTTGGGAAGGTGAGCAAGGTGCAAAGGGCCAAGCATCGTTCGCAGAAATAGGTAGTTTTTGCTGTAACAGTGCGCTCGCGACGAGATGCTTGCTGCTCGCGTGCTGCAACCCCCCCCCTATTTCTGTACCTACTTGTTAGTTATCTGCTCATACACCCATCCCTGTGTAGAGTGCAGGATTAAAATCGTGGTGGAATCGAAGCTCAATGTCAATCGGTGTCCGACTCAAGCTTTCTCCCCTTCGCAAATATCAGTATCAGGCACGCGAGCTTTCTTCGCCGCCAAAAATCCAGCAATCGGTTCCCCCTTCTGGAACCATAATTCTTGTGACACTCTGCCAACAATAAAAACACTCGCAGACCCAACCCGTGCCTGCATCGCAAGAGCTATCCTTCTCTCCTAAAAGTGGCCGTTCTAGAGCTCGCACCAACGACAACGCCACCGCCGGCGGTAGCCCAAGGGCCCACTCCCTCCTACCAGAACGAGATCTGGGGCCTCGCCGGGCTACGTGGTCTGGAACCAGCGGCCGCGACAGCGCCGCCTCCCGCGTGTCGCTACCGGCGAACGAGGGGATCGCCGTCGCGATGCGGGAGGATGCTTATCCTCCCAACACCCGAAGGATTGTCACCGATGAAGGCGGGTCGCGGAGACGACGCGAGCTTGACTCGGGGGGAGTCGGTGTTGGCGCGGAGCGGGGGGTGGAGGCAGAGAGGCAGGAGCACGAGGGAGGTAGGGGAAGCCCTCCCGTCGCGCGGTTGTTGTTTGAGGAGGATCACCCCCGGTCGGAGGAAGACGCGCAGCCGATAGAGGACCGGCTGCAGGCTGTAATGAGGGACTTAGGCGTGCCCCTCGGCGAGCAGGAGAGGGCCGTGCAGGGGGGGGAGGAGAGAGAGGGTGCCGGGGGAAACGGTCAGCGGGCGGAAACAGGCACACTGGAGGCTGCAGCAGCGGTCGCAGCTGCGGAGGAAAACAGTCTGCGTGTGCAAGGGCAACAGGGCGGTGGCGTGCCGGCTCTCGAAAAGAACGGCGACAACTCAGGTCGACGTACGGTGAGACAAATAACAGACGGTTCGCCCTGCAATCAATTTGCGGGGGGTTTACCCTCCCCCCCCCCCCCGCACCTTGATACACGCATCAAATTGACGGTGTTGAAGAGCGTAATCGTACCGCCGCTAGAGTACGCCGGAGAAGTATGGGAAGGAAATAAGAAGGTAGTGAAAGAACTCGAGGCGGCGCAGATGAAAGCAGCGAAAATCATCCTAGGATGCTCCAAGCGCACAAGTAATGCAGCAGTCAGGGCAGAATTGGGGATCCGATCCCTACGGTCGGGAAGAGACGTAAGGAAGCTGACATGGCAGTATCGCATGTGCGGGATGGGAGAGGAGAGGTTGCCGAGAATAGTATGGGAGGCGAAGTGGGCAAACAAAAAGAGGGGTAGACAACCCACGGAATGGGTCAAGGTTGTAGAGGACGTATGGAAGGGATTGGACATCGACGAAGATGAAACGCTGGAAACGGAGGGTCTACAGGGGTTCAAGAAGAAGATATCTGTTGCTTGTGCCGACAGAGAAGAACATAATCTAAGGAAAGAATCCAAGGATAAGGAGGGTCTAGAAGTGCACGGAATGTTGAAAGAAGGAATAGGGTTCAAGGATTACCTACATGGACCAATGGATGCAGGGACAAAGCTTAAGGTCAAATTCAGGACCGGGGAGATAGGCCTTCGCGAACGTCGACGAAGACATAGGACGGTAGACGACGAAGACGATAACTTCAAATGCGATTGCGGCTTCGAATGCGAAGACAGTGTTCATGTAGTCGCGGAATGTCCGAGGTACGAAAAGGAGAGGGAAGTGTACATGACTGAGCTGGGAATAATACAAGTGACGTACAGGGAGATGTTTGAGGCATGGAATAGAGAGGGGGGGGCGGTAGGGGTACTGGGGGGTAAAAAGGGGTTTGAAAAGGGGGGAAGGAACATGGGTGGGATAGACAAATTGGGGAAGACATTTTTGAGCCCCCTTTGGCAAAGTAGGAAGGAACGATTGGCCATCGGGGATTGGTCCTGGGGGAAAAATGCTCCGTCCTTTGGGGGAGGGGGGGTCAATGGTTTAACCGTTAAGGCATGCAAAACAAAAGGGTACCCCCCCCCCCCCCCCCCCTCCCCTCTTGAAGAATTTGAGTAACCATTTGCACAAAGAAGCTAAGCAATCCTCTATCGTCTTTAGAATTGTGCGGGCAGTTTCTTTTTTGTTGTTGCTTCGAGCGATGAACAGGCATCGCCGCTGCCGACGAAGCCGTTCCCATCTTGGAAGGATTATTGTTCGCATGCAACACTCGCTTCGTGTGCCGTGGTCTCCGCAGCTAAGTTACTAACAGCTTTCTTGCATCGTCGTCTCAACACGCTGCATGCTATCTGCAGCCATCAGCAGCGAGGGAAGAGTCTTGATCGCTCGATCTGACCCAAAATCGACGGTCAGCACAAGACTGACTGCTACATTTACCGCTTGAGTTTCGGGCGCGTTGTACATGCGCGCCGACGTCGATGTCCTGGTAGCACGCTGGGCGGAAGCCCCTTGCAGGGAAAATTTCGGCAGAACGAGCATCGCTTGCTTCGCCGGGCCTGCGCAGAACGCGCGAATAACGTTTCCCCGGATTGGTCGTTTACCGAGAGTGTCGGTGCGATCGGAGATGGTTTCCGTTGAGGCCAATGACGTAGGTGGTTGGGTGGGCTAGGTGGTTATAGGTGGTTAGGTGGAGTGATTGTTTTCGATGTCACTTTTGTGTGAGGTATGATGCCTATTCAGTCCGTGTCCGTGATACTCTTTGTCAACCGGTACGTGTTTCGTGTGTCCAGTTTGTTGGGTACGGGGAAGGGAGGAGAGGTTGGGAGTGGTTGCCGACATGGACCCTGTGTGCGTGGTGTAGTGGTACCCCCGTGTGTATCGACGTCATATGTGAAACAATTTCAACTAGATTTCCTTTGTCGTGATGACAACCATGATCATGATAGTTACGGCCGTGTTGTGTGTTAATAAATAAAATACCTTGAAAGGGGCAGTGCTTTTAAGTACTAGTAATACCAGCAGCCAGTAATTATAAGAAGGACTATTTTTTTCAAACACAGGAGAAAGAGCTTGGTATGTAGAGTAGCTATGCGTCATCGTCGTGTCATTGTACTCTTGTGCAGTCCAGTAGATAGACGGAGGGAAAACAATACCTAACATGCACTGCATCACCGATACTTGAACAAGGGTCGTAGTGTGTTTCACTGCACGGAGAAAGTAAACATTTTATTCCAACCATCCGGTGGCAGTTTCTATATTTCGGGCCCGAGCAGCGTCACGGATCCGTGCAATCCAGGGAGAGTTGACACGAGCTCAGACTGGTTTATGGTGTCTGGCCGCGACCGGGCGGTTCCCGCTGCTGACACTACAAATAATAGTCGCATCTGAAGAACCCATGAACCGATGAAGCGTCGATCGCTTCGGTGGCGGTAAAAATTGGGGTGCAACCTAGACGTTGTCATTTCGCGAGCAAGCATGCAACCATCTGACATGAGTGGTAGTTTTTCGACGTTGGCCGCAGGGAACCATTGGAGAGAGCTCGCGCTTCACCCGTACATGTCCGTGTGTTTTGAGGCAAGCCGTTTGAAACCTAGGGTACATTTTGCCGAACTACAGCGTTTGTTCAGTCAGCCTGATCCTTTGGTGCTGCCCGCTCTTGTCTCATGGCGCTACTCTCGACCTTGCCCATGACTTCGGCCACGACCTTTTGCATCCAGCTGTCGAACTCGGCCGCGAGTTGTAGCACCCACGGTCTCATCTGCTCCGCAAACGGCAAGAAGTAAGCATCCGGCAACAACCCGGGCACCAGCTGCCTATCGCTGACGCTCACGTACCGCCTCGCCTGCATGATCTCCCGTACAGTTCTCGGCCGTATCACGGGCGCGGCAGCGCGACTTCCCCGCCTGCGAGCACCCAGCTTGTTCGTCTTCGCCCCTCCCTTCTTTGCCTCTCCCGATTCGGCTCGGCCGGCCTCGTCTCTGTTGCTGCTGTCCTGCCCCTCGTCATTGTCATTGCCGTCATTGCTGTCATCGTCTGCGGCGGCAGCAGCAGCAGCAGCAGCAGCAGCTGCGATTTTTGCCGCTCGCTCGGTCTCCTCCACCATCGCCGCCTGCATGGTATCGGCGTTGGGAACCGTGAGCTCCGGCCGAAGAATCCGCACGATCAGGTACACCGTCGAAGCCAGCACCTGGCAGTTGTGCATGAGGAGCGACTGCTTCACGCCGCTGGACGGGACCAGTCCGGACTCTTGCGGGTACAGCAAAATCCACGGGATCAACACCCGCACCATGAGGTAGTTGGTCAGGATCATCTCCACAAACGACGTGTCGAGCCATTGACCGTTTGCCTCGTGGCGATACAGCGGCCTGAACTTCCCGGGGAGGTGCTCGCGCCCGTGCAAGACGGCTGCTCTCAAGTCGGTCGGCCGAGCCGCGGCGGCGGTGGCGGCGGCGTGGCCAGCCATGCCCGCCTTCGTGCCCTCCAACAGACTGTGTCCAGCGTCAACCAGCCATCCCAGGTGGTGCGCGTCCAAGAAACCTTCGTGGTGGCCCTGGTGGTTAGCTGCGAGCTCCTCCTCCAATGCCTTGCTGTTGTGCAGGGCGTAGAGCGTGTCTTCGAAGTCGTCAGGACGGTCCGTGTTCGGGGTGAGGTTTCGCACGGCGCCCAGCTCGTCGAACGCGAGCATCTTGGTCTCCTCCTCGAAAAAGAAACCGTCTGGGAAGTAGTTGCCGTCGGCCGCAAGGTAGCTGAAGAAAGTCATGATATCCGTCGGAGGCATCTCCTGAGTCAGGCCGTTCAAGACACCTTTCACGTGCACTTTTAGGCGCATGAGCGTCAGCGCCAGGCTCTCATGGCTGATCCCTCTAGCCACTTTCCTGACAAGGGCGCTCACGAAGCCCCCTCTGGCATTCCCGCCCCCTGAAGCGCCCCCCCCGCCGAAAGCCTCCCTCTTGCCGTCTCGGCGGTTCAGCCGAAAGTTTAGTGCGCTGTTCTTGAGCACAGAATTACCGACCGGCACCCTCGCTGCTTTCAGTAGCCACGTCTGGCATCGGTCGAAGTAGATGGTCAGCGTCGCGTTCCAGTCTTGTGTATCGCGGTCCTTGGACCTGAGAGCAACGCGAACGACAAAATAATCGTGCGCCCCGACATAAAAATTATCGCCAGTCAGACATTGTCCATACTATTTACAACAACGGGCCGACGCAGGGCCGGATGTAAGCGTTGTGCGCAGCGGTAGGAATCTCACGCACGGGGTTGTCAGCCACTAGGTTGATACTGTAGTTTCGCTCGGGGTGACACTGAAAGGAACGTAGAGATACGTGTGATCTCACGTGAAACAGAATCAAATAAGGGACGAACACCCTCCCGAACAGTTCGCTGCACCTAAGGACTGTTTAGTCTTGTAGATGTGGAGTATTTTGTTGTACACCTCTCCGTCAAGTTCGACGTATAGTCTGCTGTACCCTGCATACTCGCGCTCCTGCATGGCCCTTTCAGTACCATGTGGGAATTTTGACATGTTTTTCATTCTTTCTTCGACGTCGCCCTCGAGCGCGGGTACACTTGGTACGCTCAACCGGATGGGTTGTTGTTGTTATTGCCTTCACATTAAACTCGTGCCAGTTGCTAATCCAAAAATCTAGCAAAGACGCGGTCGTGGTCACAAAAATGCTAGAGCCATCAGAAGATCTAAAGAACACGCAAACTAGCAAGAAAAGGGTGTGTTCGACATTTCCAAGTCTACAGTAAGGCAGTGGGACAATTTGAAAAATGAGGACTTGAACGTTCCCCAACTCTGAAACCTACATATGATATTGTAGGTAGTCGTGGTTGGATTCACCATACATTGATGATGTACGATCCGAGCACCGGAGCTACATGTAACAAGAGGCAGTATCTCACCTCGCTTTTCGTTGCATGAGCGTCCTCTTCGGCCGGACGAAAAACACGATGATCAGCAACGCCGCTGCCTTCCAAAGGTGCCTTCCCTTCAAGACCCGGTCGGGGGGAGGGTCATGGACGCCCTCCGCGATCCATCGCCACTTCGGACGCCTTGTCAGCCCACCATCAGACAGGCCCTTCAGCTGCGCCAGGAGGGCCGCCCGTTCTTTCTGTCGGCCTTGCTCCTCGCGTTTCTTGTTTGCATCTTCTTCCTTGGAGCGGTTCTCTTGAGCGTCGGCGCTCTTGAACAAATCGGAGTCTTTTTTGCCGTCCTTCCCTACATTATTTTCAAGGTTTTGGAACATTGTGCTCATGTTGGAGTCTAGCTCGCGTAGCTGTTGGCCCAGAACGTCGTCTTCCTCTGCGAGATCCATGTAGTCTTCTTCCTTTAGCGCGCTTGGATCTTGTTGCGCGCCCCGCCCCGCCATATCCACTTCTTCACCGTCCTCGGCGTGATGTAAAACTGAGTCGAGTTGGTTCAACACATCACCTCCAACAGACGGGCCTCGCGAAGCATCCGGTTCACCAGTTGTCGCTGCGCGAGAGGCGTTGCGCTGGATGGCATTCTGCGCGTATGCTCGTGGCCGTTGTTGCTCATTTGGTTCACCCCACCCCCAAGGCACACCTTGTCTCGACTGCCCAAGCAGGGTTCGCTCACCGTTATGTGCTGATGGAAGGATGTCTGCAATCTCTGTGAGCTTCTCGATGAGCGCTTTCACGCTCGGATCCAGCGGTGGTGGAGGGGTCGGGTTTGCACGCCGGCCGCCAGCTACAGATGACGCAGCGGCCTGCGCGTGGGTAAGCTGCCGGCGGAGCTCACATGATTGACGAAGTGCTTTTAACGCCACGAACCGCTGCGCTTTATGCCTGATGAGTGTATTTTGAAGCCGGCTGCGTTGGAGACGCCGGAGCATCACCGCATGCTGTGCTGAAAATGGTATCGAGTCGCCAACTTGGTCTCTTGCAAGGACATGGTCGGAGACGCTCCCGCTGTGCAGCGCTGCTGTCTTCGTATATCTCATGCCTACTTGTAGAAGTACGTTTTTTGTTCTTTTTCCAACAATCTCTCTTGCCCATCTCGCCCATCTCGCTCCTCTTTATGTAGGGTCTGTTCGTTTGTTGCCGAGACACTCAAGTCATCGTCGCAGCGTCGCACACCGCACACGCAGACTCGAAGAAACGAAAAACCCAACACAAAAAAACGAAAGCACGAAACGTTCTAAATTACAAGAAGGCCTCAAACGTATCCGTGAAAACCCGATTGTTTGTCTCATCTGCGGGCCCCCCTTTGCTCAAAAGCCTGAAATTGACCGATACCACGCCATACGCGTGGAAGAAGTTAGAAGGCTGCTGGGATTTACCTGCGAGAAACCAAAGGGCCGCTCGCTTCCGTCGTTTGTCGTGTTCACCGCTCTGCCACTTGTCCTTGCTGACACCTGGCTATCTTAAAGAACCGGTCGAGACTTCCAGAGCCTCAAAAGCGGGCGCTTGGATCTCGTCTGCTCCGCGCGTTTTTCTGGTGAGAGCGGGTCTTTCGACTCCATTCGAAATTCGTACCCCGGGTCGTGCTGTACTGCTGTTCGCGGGCGAAATATAACAAAAACACGTTGTAGACGGTGGGCCCATCGTGCCTTTGGTGTCCTCGTTCTGTCCATCCCTTTTCCGACACGCCAGTAACTGGCGCCATTTTTTGTGCTGATCCCAGCGACTCCACGTGCTGCTGAAGCTCCGCCGCGCGACAATCTGATCTACGTAGACTTTTGTATGTACCCTTTTCCAACCACCCCTTCCTCTCTTCTCAGGACACACGGAGGAGAGGGAGACTTGGGAGAGCCGAGGGTGTGAAATGAGCCCCAGTCCCGACACTCAGGACTCGAACAGGTCCAACTCGATCATGGCGTCGTCCGGTGCACCACAGCAGCTGGTCGCCCAGAGAGCTTTCGCCGACACCAGCATGAGAGGAGGCAAGGAGGATGATGCGACGACGAGCAACCCTTACCTCGCCGGACTGAGCAAGAAGGCACGAGGCTTGAAGAAGAAGATGGAGAAGATCAAGAAAACCGAGGCCCTTAGTGCGTCCGGCAAGGTGAGCAGCGCGCTGGTCCGTCGAGTTTGGCAGGAGATGGTGAAGAAATTGTATGGTTTTCTGTGCCGGAGGTCCAGCAGCGGTGAGATACACAGCAGCAGAGAGAGCAAAATTTGAATCGTTGAACGCTGCTTCCGGCTCGGCCTGATACAACTCTTTGGCGTTCCCTGTTGTTGGTTGACAGCTACAGTACCTGCGGTGCCGTCGTATCGAGAGTATGTGCCCTTTACCTTCACTTGTGTAGCCAGAGCTGTGCTGTAAACTCGCCGAATCCTCCTGAAAAGTTCGCCCTCAGTAGAGCTTGCTCTGTTGTTTGACATCAGTTGCGGTCGGTAGGATGCCAATCGCTGCGTACCTTCGGACTACAGCGGCCAGGAGGGTTTCCAATTGATATCGTAGACTCCGCCACGGGCGATGGTTGGGAGATGGTCGATTGAACAGGTATTAGGTACAGGAGCAAGACCACACGAAATTCGGACTTGTTGTCACTCTTCAAAGATGAATTGTGACCCCTTGTGTGGCATCAGTGCTATTAATTATTAACTACAACTTGTGACCAGCAGTAGTCGTTAATCTGCATCAGTTAGGGTTGGTTCATGGTATCTGGCCGCTACCGGGCGGTTCCCGCTACTGACACTACAAGTAGTCGCATCTGAAGAACCCATGAACCGATGAAGCGTCGATCGCTTCGGTGGCGGTCATCCACTTCATGCACATGACCACCACGGTTAATTTTGAACATTATCGCGCTGACCCTTTCACCTTCTTTTTTTTACACTAGGAAGCAAAGCCGCCAGAATGCATGTGAGCTCGCCACCGCAAGATGGATGTGCTCATGATCTACATAGCTCCCTTTCGTCGAGAACCGTTCCCCCGATGTGGGCGGATAGTTTTTTTTTTTCACCCTCGCCCGTTGATCACCCTCACCCGCCCTCGTCCCTTCTCCCTCCCTCCCTCCCTCCCTCCCTCCCTCGCCCAGCACCTGAACGAAGAACAGCTCAAGCTCCTCGAGACCAAGCCGCTGCTAGAGTTCGCTTTGTCGGAGCACGAGCGCGTGAAAGCCGCCATGGAAGCTGTCGCCAAAGACGTGGAGGAGCGCGAGACGGCCGAAAAGGCTAAGCTCCTGCTCGCGCCGCCGCCGCCGCCGCCGCCGCCGACTGGCCTGTCCATCGCCGCCGCTCCCGAGCCGGAACAGCCACCGGCGGCCCTGTCCATCCCGGCCCCCGGCCCAGAGGGCGGCGGTCCTCAAGATCAACAGCCGGCTGCTGAGGTTGCGGTGGCGACTGAGTCCGTAGGCGTGTCCACAGATCTCCTGGCCACGGAGGAAGCAGAGGTGCAGACGGACGTTAGCGGGCCGCCGCCCCGACCGGGGCTAGACCCGAGAGAGGTGTCCGAGGCGGTGGCGGTGGCGGCGACGCTAGCGGCGCAGGAGAAGGAGAAGGCGGCGCAGGAGGCAGAGGAGAGGGGCATTGCGAAGGGGAGGAAGGAGGCGGCCACGGGGCTGTCCAAAGTGCTGCGCCTGCTGCACGTGGCGAGCAGGTTCGAGGCCAAGGGGGAGCGCCTCCCCACCGCGGTAGATTTCTTCTCCAAGGTATGCGTATGTCTATATATGGATTGTTATAGGCGGCGTATGCATAGATTACTGGGGTTCAGGGAGGAGGGTGGGGATGGTTCGCGCCGGTTGATGGAGGTAGGTGGTGTGTCTTGTTGATTGTTGTCCGCTTGCGACTGATTTTTGGGAAGCCGCCTTCAGGTTCCTGTTGGTTGCATATGGATCACTCGTAGCCTTTTTTGTCCGCGTTGCGTATTCTGAGTGAGTCGAGCAGCTTGGTTGATTTTTTGCAACAGTGCGTCATTTGTCTTGCTGCGCTAGCAGACTGTTTCGTGACCACCTGACATCTCGACTCCGAGACACTGCTCCTGCTGTCTGCTGTAATGTACCCACAATAAAACGTGCGCCACTAAGTATTTTGTGTCCCTCCCGGAGTCCTGCACTATGTTTGCGGGGGTGCCGCTGCCGCTGTCCAATGGGTCTGTAAATTTCGCGCAGAACACCTCGTTTAAACCACACTCCTGGAATGTATGCGTGCGTACACGGCGGTCGCTGGCAGGTGCTCCTGGGCAAGACCATGCCGCCGGACGAGGCTGACTTCGACGACTGCCTCGGACAAAGCGTGGAGCGCGCGTCGCTGTACCTGGATCCTTCCAACGGCTCCAAAGAAGTCGCGCCCGGGGTTTCCTACGCGACGCTGGACGACATGGTCTCGACCTTAAGAAGCCAGATCATCGCCGGCCCCGCCGCCGCCGCTGAGGGGGACTCCGCAGCCTTCAACTTTTTCGGGGAGCCGAGTTCCGGCGGCGGGAGTTCCTCGAAGGCGGAGGCCGACGGCGCGGCAAAGGGGACGACGCCTCGAGAAGCCCCACCGCCGCCGGCCCCGCAGCCTTCGAATGGCAACGGGAACGTTTCCTCGTTCCAGCCTCCGGCGGCGTCGGCTCGAGGGGGAGAGGAGCTCTCGGGATACCAGCAGCAGCAGCAGCGGCCGCCAAAGTCGCCGGCAACTTCCGCCCGCAGCCCGACCAAGCAGCAGCAGCAGCAGCAGCAGCAGCAGGAGAAACTGGGGATCCCAATGTCTGGGCAAGTGGGACCGCTTGGGCCGCCGGCCGCTCCCCCCGCCGTGGGCATAGACGTGACGCCCCCCCCCGCACGCTCCTCGCCCTCGCTCGGACACCGCGGCGGCGGCTCGCAAGCACCCGCTGAGGATTTGGGCTTGGGGTCGCCCACCACGGGGCAGCTAGGACGGCAGGCTTCGCAGATGGAGGAAGGTATCTTGCCACCTGTTGCGTCGAACCAGCCTTCCCACCTCCAGCAGGCGAGTCCGCAGCAGCAACAACACCAGGTGGATCAGGCCGCGTTCCCCAAGCGGGAGAGGCGCCCGAGGCCCCAGTCTTCGTCGAGGGGCCCCGCGCCGTCGGCGGGGGGTATCCCCCCACCCTCCTCCACCGGAAACCACGCAACCTCTCAGCAGCCTCGCCATCGACACTCGGAGCTGGGCTCTCCACCCCTGCGCCACCTCCAACAACAGCAATTGCTACGGTCTCCGTTCCCACAGCAGCCCACGCCGCCTTTGACGCCGGTGCAGATGGGGATGGGTCACGGGTTGGGCCTGTCGGCGGCAGCACCGGTGCCGTCGCCGAGCCCTCCGGGCCCAAACCTCCCCGGGCCGTCCCGGGGATCGCCAAACCTGACGTACGGCAACAATGGCGGCGGCTGGGGGGGATACGCGCAGCAGCAGCAGCCGCCCCTGCAGCAACGGCCGCAAGGGGCCCCGCCAACGCAGCAACAGCAGCAGCAGCACCACCAGCACCACCAGCACCACCGTCACCAGCACCCACCCCACCACCACCACCACCACCACCAACAGCAGCAACACTCGTACCGGCCCCTGATGCACCCATCCCCATCGCACGCCCCTCGGTCTCACATCGTCGGAGGAGGAGGAGGAGGAGGAGTGGGAGGGGCGCCGTGGTCTGAAGCCCCCCCTGTGATGCCTCCGTACCCGGCAGCAGCCGGTGTCCCGAGTTCCCATCATCCCGGCATGGTCAATGGCGCAATACGTCACAACAACAACAGCGGCGGCGGCGGCGGCGCCGCCCCTCTAGGCACGACGTGTATTAATGAGATTTTCTCGGGCGATTTCTGTCTACCTATGAAAGAATAAATCCGACATTGGCCCAGGTATTTGATGAGTCGTCGTAATATGGGGGATTAATATAATATTGAACGCAAAACCACGCGCGGTGTATATTCTATCTTCCTTTTTAGATTTATTCGTAATATAT